TTAGTAAAAAGATACAATATAAAGTACGGTATTTAGTACTGAATAAAGTGTCTTGTTAATAAACACGTCCCCGAATAGACGCCGTCCTCAAATAAACGCCGCAGCTGGATCGTGAAAAATGAAATAAACGCCGCGGCGTCTGTTGGAGTAAATACGGTAATGATAAACTAATAAAAGACTAAATTGACGGGAGATTAATCAAAAAAATAATTTTTCACAGTTTATTTGGCACAGTTTATTTTATGGACCAGTTTGATTACATTCCCAAAGTTTAAGCTAAAACTATGAAGGCAGCACTGAGATATAGGGGTGGTTGTCTTGAAACTGGGCTGGGCTGGTCATCTTCATGTTTAAGCATAGCCAAAGAACTTTAGGTAGTTGAGCATGGTCAATGGTGCAGATTTCATCTATGGAGGTTGAATTTGCTGGCGAAGGCTGGTCACGTGACTAGCACTGGGTAAAAACCCTAGCCCAAAGCCCTGATGTAGCCCTAGCACAAGTCTCACCCTAAGCCAAATCTCAACCCTAGGTCTAAAACAACAGTCCTAACCCTAATCATGTGTTAACCCCAACCGCAGTTTTAACAAATAGTGCGAAAAATCACTGGTCACGTGACCAGKAATTAAACCTSTTGAAATGTTTATATAATGTCATTTTAACAAATCTGCTACAAGCATCATCCCTTTCAGCATTTTAKACACACCCATGAACTTGACTTAAAATASAACTAACTTATCACGACTCGCTGCCATTGCTATTGTAAGGGGGACTTGGAACACGATAGATCATCAACAATTAGCTAACTTAGTAACACTGACGTTATGTGATGTTTTTGTTCACCAGGTTCTCATACTAACCAGTTTTCTTTTGTTAGTTCGGTTTTAGTCAGGGGGGAGCTGCTCTTCTTTTCCTTTGCACCTCTGGGGCATATACAATAGGTGCTCCGCTTGCTGGTTTTTTCCTGAACAAAAAGGTAAAAAATAAAAATAAATAAAAAGAATTGAATAAGCATTTTCGAGGGAAGTGTTTTAATTCTAGTACTAGAATAGAGATTCATAATTTTTCGTACTAGTTCGTTTTCATTGTTATCCTTTTCCTATCTTTCATTGTTCTAGTATCTCACTCTCTTAATCATCGCTGTTTGCATGATCTGCAGGTACGCGGCACGCACAGCAAACAGCACGGTCGTCGAATGGCTGTGTTTAACCCGGCATTAATTGTCGACATCATAGGAAACATTTAATTTAGAGAACATCATAAATATCATTGCACGAAATTACGCTATATATTTAAGGTTATCATTGAACTACTGATCGCTATGACATATTTTTGCTTTGCTTTGCTTTTAGCCATGGGGAAGAATATCGATCGTCGCTGGATCACTTGGCGCTGCATGTGGTATATTATTCATGGGACCTGCACCATTTTTTGCTCAAGTCCTTCCTGAAAAGTAAAATATATCACTGTAAAATATGCGATAGAGAAGCCTTTTATTTTCATACTATAATAAGATTGACAATGTCTCATTTTGACTACGAGACTGACACAAATTAATTTAAATTAAATTCTTCGTAAATGATAATAACTTTAAGGCATAAGCTGAGAGAGTTTTGTAAAGAATTCATTGGAACTAGTGAACTCGTTGTTATTTTCCCCATCATGTAAAGAACCACGAATTTTTACTACTAACAATTTTCAGAGCTGTGTGGTTGCTGGTTGTTTCTCTTTTTGGTCGTGGACTTTTCAATGCTTGGTTCTTTGTTTCTATTCTTCCTGAAATGTTTAACTGCTGTCAGTAAGTATAGATGTTTGTACTTAGAATGTATGGAGCTCTTGAGCACAGTCCCCCAAAACCATATATTTCTTTTATTTTTTGCAAATTTCTAAAGATTGGTACTCGGTGAGTATTTAACTAAAAATTGTCAAAATTGACAAGAACGCTAACCTGTTTATAGAATGGTCCTTCGTGTGTTGAGGTTCAGTTGAAGAAGACTATTTCTAGTGGCAAAAATCATAGGAAAAAAAAATTTGTTATCCAGATGAAATTTCTGATTAACAAAAACCAGTCAGAAAGTGTAACTGTCTGTCAAAAATATTTTATTTACCGATACTGTCTGCAACCTTTTTTAGAGAAGCGGGCTTGCATCATAGTTTGCAGCTAGACTCCATGGTTTCTTGTTTATATACTGGCTTCATCAATTTAGGGTGAGTACGTAGCTAATAACATGTTGTATTATACGACTAGTTATGAATATTAATGTATTAATTACTACTGTATGCAGAAATTATGGTCATTTTGACTCATATTCCAAGTATATATGAAATATATCAGAAATTATGGGATATCATGRCCAATATTTGTTTGAAGWTGYCWAGGCACTAGTACTTTCTGAAAWTGTAATGGCGAWKATATCCAATAATGTCTGATAGTTTAATGTATACTTGGAATAAGAGTCAAAATGATCATAATTTCTGCAGCCATATTACTGTAGATTTTTAGAGATTCCTACGTATAAATGTCGTTCTTTCTCGGAACCTAGAAAAAGTTTGATCAACGAGTCGCGCTGTGTGGTTGGGATATCGAAAATCGTATTGCATTTCTGCTGGGTAGAAGTTACCACGAACTCCGAAAGAAGAAGTCGAGTTTCAAGGAGTTTCGATCTAAGTAATACTAACTTTGAATAACTTACTCACTAAGGTTAAATAAATGGTTTTTTGTAAGTAGATTAAAAATATCATGACTCTACTATTCCAGATATCAACAAGTGTGGGGGGAGATTTAGTGACAACTATTACTAGTTTTATACAGGCCAGAAATCGGTATGCTGTATTTTTAACGTGAAAAATAACGATACTTCCAATCAGAACCGCGTACATAGCGATTCTTACGTGTGAAAGTATAACTAATCATAACACAGAGAAATTACAATCAATTTTTCGAGACTTCCGGGATCTTTATATAGGGGTCTTTCGAAAATTTCCGACGAGCATCACATGTAGTTTTACCCCGCCGGAGTCCCCTCCCCCCGGGAGTTTATAAACTTGTTAAAGAGATATCCCTAAAAAAAATCTCGTTATACATATTAAAACAGATTATAGTATGGAAAGTGCTTTGTACGAGTTTTTATTCACTCACTGTTTGCATCATAAACTCGCTCGCTCGTTCGCGTGATGTACTTGCTCCCTTGCACTTTACATGAAATAATCTATACGAATTACGAATGCATCAATTTTTTAAAATTGATGCATTAATTAATTGATTAATTAATTAATTAATTAATTGATGCATTAAAAGTAAGTATTGTTGATCCATTACAGATCATTTGTCGGTCCCTTTGCTGGTGGTTTTATGAACAATTACCTCGGATTTCCTTGGAGTACAGCTGTAAGTACATAGCAAAGACAGCGATGAGTTAAAGATCTTAATTAATTGCTTCCTAAATGCAAGGAATAGTAATAAAGTGTGTGAAGAGAGCAATATAAGTGTATTTTACAAGCCAATGCAACAAAAAAAGTCATGTAAACAATAATTAGAAAACGGCAAAGTTAACGTTTTCCCCGTCTTTTCGGTGATTACATAGTTCTATTTTTCATTTCACTTTGTATCACGGATCATTGAAACCCATTCTATCTGAACATCTTTATATTTCAGATCGTCTCTATTTTTCTGGCAGCAAAGGTAATTTATACGATTRATTATTTTCACTTCTATTGGCTTCATAAAAATTGGTAATGCACATTTTTTTCTCTTTTTAGGCTCTGGTCGCTGCAATTTTTTTTGCTTATAACAGGTACTGTCAAAGTAGTAATGATGTATCAATAAAACAAAACAAACACCGAAAACTAGAGAAAATAATAAACAGGCAAAAACTATAATTTCAAATATTCTGGCAGAAAAGATGAAATTGCACCTTAGATGATTGGGTGTACTAACTATAGGTTGTTCCAGAAAGGACAGGGTTAGCCGGCACGTGCTAGGGAGCAGAAACCCCTTTGCTACATGGTTCTCGTTGTGATCATTGATGGAAAATTCTTTTTTGTTTTGCGTTGTTATTATAGACGTACCAGTCATACTTCATACGAGAAAATAGAGGATAAATGAGGTATAAAGCTTTCTAGTATGGAAGATTCCAGAAATCGCCAGACACGGAGGCAGAAAAGATGGGGACAATTTTATTTCAATTCTACAAGAATAAATCCAATACATACGTTGTAGAGTGGACGTACTAAAACATTGTTTATTATTAATAGTGTGGTTTAACCATGAAATACACTTTAACAGCGTTCTACACATTATTATTCTTTATTTTGGACGTTTTTCTTCGCCTTTTAGGTGCATCACACAATATTACACTGTTAAACTTTGTTTCAAGGGTTTATGACGCCCACTCTTAAAGTGTTCAATAGACAATGTGAAAAAAGCTATAAATAAGCATAAATTATAATCTATTTTGTACTATGTTTGCTTCGCGGAGTGCGCTCATTCTACTAAAGGTGCAAGTAATAATTTATAATTGCTACTGGTAATATATATGAATGAAGATCAATGTCTCCCTTGTCATTCAATCGAAAAGTTACATCACTGCTGGAAATCAAGCTTGTCTAAATGGACGTAAAAATATCAAAAATGTCTATACCGAAAATGATAGTGAAAACGCAGTCGTCCAATATTGAGCGGCTAAGCATGCTGGATATCCTATTTAAAGTATTCTGCTCTCATTTTATATTCCAAGGCCACCATAGTGTATTTAAGAATTATAAAATTTTTCATATATAACGCGCGCTCTGATTGGCTGGCGACCGTGTTTATATCAGAGGACAGAGACACGGCTTATATAATTTATAAAATTTTATATACTCGAGAAGCAAGAGAAACACTCGCTACGCTCGTGTTCCTAAGCTTGCTTCTCTCGTGTTTTTCGAACTCGCTACGCTCGTGTTCCTAAGCTTGCTTCTCTCGTGTTTTTCGAACTCCCACCGTTTTTATATCAGAGGACAGAGACACAAGCGGCCGTTTATATTTCTTTTATAAAATTTTTCGAGCGAAAAGAACATTTTKCCGGTAAGCCGTGTCTCTGTCCTCTGATATAAACACGGTCTTCAGCCAATCAGAGCGCGCGTTATATATCAAAAATTTTATAATGGGTGTTATATCAAAGGTAAAGGATGCAGTGATCTTCATTGATGATCGATACAAAGATAGTAGGAAATCTATATACAAACTGACGGCATTTACAATTATCTCGAGACAATAAACAGGGAGGACCCTTGGGGG